GCAGGATGAGACCGAATAAAGAATTTTACAAGAAGCGATTAGCGAGGTCTATATTTCAGCATTGTCGACCAACATCGTCAGACCAGCTGGCGCAATATCTCCGCCTGAAAAAGCCTATATTTTACGAGCATAACACTATCAATTATATCCATAAACAATCGGTTTAGTAAATTGACTTCAATAGGTTAAATTTCTGACTGGTTAAATTGACGACAATTTAGATTGAATAATCTTCGTTGGGAAAAGCTAGGTGGGTTCTGATCGCAAAGAACTATTAAAAACGATGAAGATTTAAGCACAACTCATTGACAAGCTAAAATTGTACAGATAATGATCGCATAAGTAAGTATTGATTTCACGCAAAGATGACAAACATTGAAGCTGCCTAGTAACACAGTGGCAGTTATAAGAGGCTTTCATGTTCATACACTACTGACCGCAAATCGTGATATAAAACAGTAATTCAGTCATTTGCTAAGCTTTCTCATTGCTTTTTACATCAAGTCTACTCAGTCTGTGGTCATAATACTAAAAAGTGGTCATATTTTGGTCTATGGATGTATCGAAAAAATTTACCTTCATATGACGACCGAAATGCCAATATTCAGTTTGAACGCGGAACTAACGAAACAAAATTTATTCGATTAGACCCGACTACGTTCTTCTGTATGGCGCACGAAGCGTTTTTGAGTTATTCATATTAAGTTATATCAAAACACAAACTCTGTAAACAAATAGAACAAATTATATGAAAAATACATAATACCTCAGACGGTGCAACCTGTGCTATACAGTCAAGGGTTTCTTTAACACATATTGGCGTGCTAAACAACAAAGAAAAAATAGTTAATACAAAATAGTTCAATATCTGAGGATCAATAAAAATATTCCTAACAAGATCAGATATCTATCTGCAGGGATTCTAGTAATCTTCCCAAGCAGACAGTCAAAGGTTAAAAGTCACACACCGAGCCACGCCGTGATCTTGGGCTTAGTCAAACACTGCCTTACTGTCAATATTCCGTCAACATGAAACAGAAATTAGGTAGCGAAGGATAAATCCTTAATCAAAATCACATGATAAAAGCTTAGGCGAGGAAGACTGAAGAACACAAATTATGGTTAAAAGTGATCTGAATAAAGGTTAAATTACACGACGGGGAGATCAAACAAATCGATTATTTGTATCATCTCAGGGTTTGCTTTCGGATCTAATGAAGCTTGTGTCAACAACACTGGATATTCCTCTGGAGCCACTCGCAACTCGTTGGAGAATGTGTGGTACTGCATCTTCTCCAAATCACCACACCTAGTCACACCATCATGTTCAGTCCGATACTTCAGTGTCAAGATACCATGTCTCGATTGAGCCTCGTCTTTCACACAGTTTTCTTTTTAACCCATTCCCACCGTCACTCCTTGATGTCTAGGTCTTTCAACAATAGAGGGGAATACTGCTCGAGGAGCCGACTGTACATACAGCAAACCCACTGTCGATAACAGAGGCAGCAACGTCTTCTCCAGCTATTTCTCTAGGTAAGGGAACAGTCCTGTAACTTTCATCAAAATAGGTGTCGTGCTCTTCTTTAGTTGCCGGTGAAACCCATATTTATGCATGTTCTTTAATTGCTCCACAAAGTCATCAGTTTGAGGAATATAATTTACAATTCTTTCCTCATGTTTGTTGAGACCTGCTGGTCCAGAAAAAACTCAGTATTCTAGCAGCGTAAGGACTCTTTCTTTCACCTAATCTTTTATCCAGGACCCAATGCGCTTCACGCACGTCACAACCGATAGGCAACATAACTTCGACACCCACTCTGGTCAAGGTGAAACCATAAGATGGGACAATTTTCTAGAGTTGTCCTTCGCAGGTTCCGTTAGTCTATGCACCGGCAAATCATCTACTACAACAGCTTGTTCAATACATATACATTCGTTTCTGTTTAATGAACAGGTTACTAAGGCCTTGGTTGTCGATCTGACAAACCTACCGTTTTGATGGTAATCGACTCACTCTCTGACTACAATCTTAAAATCCGTGCAGTGCCTGACTTCATAAGGGTAATATCTGGGCCATTGTCGAGGAAGGCATATCCACGAACATTCATATTCCCAGCTCTAAGACGTACAGGGATTAAACCAAGAGACACATCCTCCATTAGCGACCCCGTGTGCCCACAATGTATTTTTATTAATTGCACATTCAAAGCACCCTAATCTCTAATGGTTTAATGCAACAAACAGAGATGTTCATCCTGGCAACCCCCAATAGCAGACATAACAGAATCTTTGCAATCAACTGATCTGTGACTTCTTCTAAGACAAAAGAAACACAGACCCCTTTCTCTGACTTTTGCCCACCGATTGTTGACTGCCAAAGTAAAGAACTGATAACATTTATCAATCATATGACTTTCTCCGCATATAACACAAAGTGACTTGCTAACGATTTTACCGAATGACAACCCTTGTGTGGATCAAACTACGTTGCCCACAGCTTGTTTACTAGTTGTTGCAATCTGCCCGACTCTGCTGAGTAATATTTCTGCTCTACATGATAAAAATCCTGTCAACGTAGAAATATAGGCTCTCCCCCATTTCCTGTGACCTTTCCGACCGTTTTAGCCCATTTCATCTGTAATCCGTAGGCAACTTCCATACTATGCTTTCTATAGTTCCAAGAGAGTTGAGCTCCGCCGAGTAGTCGATTTTTTCTGATGCTATAGAGCAATGTTTTATTTTTATTGCTAAACTAGATAGATTTTCACCATCGCTGTGTTCTATAATCGAACATTCAGTCGAATCTTTCAGCAAAGCCCAGCTTACTTCGTGTGTTCTATCAAACAACCGTTTTAGTGTATTGCATGCTCTATAGCAACCCGACGACGGTGGAAGCATGATGCATTCCTCTATGGCCTCCCGAGCCTTTCCTTTACAATAATGCAACATGAATAAGAACAGTTGACCATCATCGTCGACCTTGAACACAAGATACAGCTAGAACTGTCTGATAAATGTCCAGTATTTTGCTGGCTGACAATCAAAACTATTAAGTTCAATTTTAGGAGGCTCAGGACACACTAAGAGATTACAAGGTCACTACTCTCTTCTTTGTTTTTGAGTAGTCGAACGGTTTTGAATTTTCTGGAGGTTTATCTCTAAGACCGTGATGAGAATGGACTACCAAACGGCGAATAGACTTGTGTGCTTTGTCATTACAGTCGGAGGCAGAAGATACTTTACTACACATGTCCTCTATTAGCATCTGAAGATACATCAGGTATTTAGAGTTTGATAACGCCTAAATCATTAACACCTATTATCAATCGTAACCACCAATTGAAATCAAAGGTCAGAAGCGAGGAGTTTCAAAGATACATTTGATAGGCTATCAATATATCGAGGATCAACTGATCGAGACTGGCTAGCGATTGCAGGGGATGTTGAGCACGTTGTCCCCACTCGTGACCTTGTGCAGATGCATGGCCGAGCGCCCTCGGCTAGGTGAGCATTCAATGTCGAAGACTTACAGAGCTATTTATTTCGGGGATTTATTTACAACTACACCTTAAAGGCCTGAACTCTCCCTGCAGGCACAGTAGTTATTTCCTTCTTCTATATTCAAGTCTTTAAATTCAAATAATTGCCGTCCTCCCATCTGTCTTTCTTTTAACTCTGGTAAAGTGATCCTAGAGCTAATTTCCACTTACTAAACTAACATTAGGGCCATGACATGAAAGTGCATCTAAAGTGACTTGTTGTACATCGAAAGGTGCATCTGATTGTCTTCTTGGCCCAACACCAGACTTTCCTTGGCCTCCTTGTCGCGCTTTCCAGGCATTCCGACGTTTGTCACCCGTGATTACCGTTCGTTTGAGAACTGTAACGACCGGAATGCTAATATTCGGTCGTCCTAGTTACGTTGGAGATTCATTTCGGTGAAAATAATTTTGCGTAGCCAAACTTCTAAACCCCTCAGCAAGCTTATTTTCAATCCAACGTGATATTAGACTCTTGTTTTCAGAAACTTCGTTTCCACGTTATAGCAGCGACGTAGTACACTTCTTACTGACTAAGGGAATTCTGGAATGAACGCTTGAAAATGGTTCAGAATTTTGTTTGCTTTCTTTACATTAATGTCACCTCTCATCATTTCAACTACAACTCTGTCTAGCTGTTGTTTGATTGGTAGATGAACAGGTGGAGACATTTCGGAAGTTGCATTATCTATAATTTATTAATAAAGAATCCTTGACTAGGCCGCCGACTGTACTGACTGTACACTGGACATAACTACATGAGGTAGCGGCCGATTGTGGGACAATACTGATACATTGCTCTGAAGCTACGGCGGTTAGTGTTTGCTAACTGATTCTTTTTATCAAACTCATCTCTTAACTTCCTCAACCTTCTGTAAAAAGTTGATTTGAGACAACCAATCAACATTAATTCTCTATTGGCTTTAGCCCGTCTTTTAGCACTTTTATTAAGCTCTTGATTATTAGTCTAAGAGAAACAATTAACTGTAGTCCAACTGAAAAAAAGCATGGATCGAAATTTTGGACAGTATAAAAGATGGTTTTAAGCCGACGAATCATTGTCTTGTGTCTGTTTGACGTACTGATGACCAAAGTTCATGAAAACAATAAAAATAACATTTGTTAATTATAATTTCATCTTCAAAGGTTTAAAAATGCACTGATAATGAAACGTTTATCCGGGAAACTGCACAACACAGACTTTAGGGATTTCCCCAAAATTTCCCAAGAAATTTGACTTAAGAAGTTATATCTCCTCATTATTTCTTGCAGTAACGTGAGAGGTCATCCGAATTCTGAACACAGAGTATTTAGAATGATCTCAAGTTACATTGACTTCATCTTTTACTTTGCAACCTTCTGAAACGAGAGAATACAGCATGAAAATCCCGGAATTCGTGATATACTGATTCCTACTAAATAATTTATTTTCCGGACATATGGCCGGAAGAAATGAGGTTCACATTTGAAATAAAGGTCACAAAAACCTGACAAAACGGACATATACACGCTGTTAAATTTCTATTCTCAACTTATTATGTGCAATATACATTGAATAATAATTGATGTTGAGCAATATTGCACGTAATTGAATTTTGTGTTACGATGGGTGAGATTGTTGACGGAGTTCGTTTGATGACAACAGTGTGAGTCGCGTTTTTCCACTTTAAATACGATTGTCAACCAATTAATAGTTTTTAGAGGTAATGAGTGTTTGTTACTCTTCGACCAGTGTTTGTCTACAGTTACTTACTTTCTCGCATTTGTCGATTGGTTTTTTGGAACAAACGGCCATCTTATTGTTTTACAATGTTTCAGTACAACTAGGTCGATTTATCACCACTCGAAAGTTGCGCATAAATTATAGTTTCACTACAAATCCTAGTAACTGGATTTATATTTAATGTTATATCAGTTAACAATAAAAAATTGTACTTACGAACGCTTCGCAATTACTTTTTATAAATTGCTTTCTAATGTGTCGTTTTTTTAATCTCTAATGTCAAGTTGGTCAAATAACTCCTTAAATAAATGTTAAGTAAACCACTTTTTCTATCCTTTTATTCATGTATTCTTTAGTATCTCGAACACTTGTCTCTACATTTCTCTTTAATCTTCACAGTCATACATATATTAGTTGCATGAAGATTGGAAAGTATTTTCGCGGGTGGCAATTTTAATTTCTTGAAACCCCTTAACTCGTGTATATATTAACATTTCAAGAGGGAGAACCAACTCTCCGCACTCTTCGGGGACACATCCAGGCACCTGTCCGACGCGTCAGTTTGATTTGAAGAATTAGTACCAAACTTCAAGAAAGTAACTATAATAATTCATGGGATAATTGAAAGAACAGTATAGTTTACTTAACTTTAATATCCGAATGGTTTCGTTTTGTGTTAGCAGAATTTAGCCAGGATAAATATTTTAGCTCAAACTTCACCTTTTGTTTCCACAGTTCAATTAGCCAAGAAAATTTTGCATCTTGTACAGGCAATCATCTGTATGAATTAAAAGCTGAACTAAAAGTTTCAGGATTAACAAATTTTCGATAGAAAATATTTCTTCGCCAAATTTTTGCTTGGTACATCACTACCACCTCAGCGCATTTTTGTGACTTAAAATGTCGTTTATAGAATCCATATATGTGGCCAAATCGATAATAATCTAACTGATGTTTAAAAAAGCTTTCTAAAATTTGATTAAAGAGTTTTTAGTACACATTTAGTCTCAGTTTCAACGAGATCGAATTCCAATCCAATTGATTTGGTGTTCATGGCTATCATTTTGTTGTCTGTTAAGACACAAGATCTTGCGTGCTTTTTAATAATTTATAGCTTATTGGTCCACACTGTTCAGAGGTTTTCATATTCTAAACACTATAATACCCTTTAAATCATAAATCGATCTAAGTTAGACCACTTAAACCTGAAAGCACTGGACAGGCGTTCTGCACTACTATAGGACTCCTCAGCAGTGTGCATTCACGATCACGGATCCTGGAGTCGAAATCAGAACCCTCAGTCTTGTGAGCAGACCCTCAACCTCAAGATTACTGACTCGAAACCAAACAGTTTATAAGTCTAACAGTGTTAATGTCTGAGTTCGGTCAGTCCACGACATTGCGCTCGTTTTTCTACCATTGTCTTTGGTAGGTGACTACCTCACACCCTACAGGGATTACAGGCTCATTAGAAATCTGGAAACTTTCTCAGGAAGCTAGTCTCTAGTGAGTACATAATAATTGTTAGCATGGAAACAAAACGGCCGTCAATAGCTTCCAGGTTCTCAGTATTGGTCTAACTTAGATTGGTTCATGATTTCAATGAAATGCAAACGATCTCCGTAAATCCATACCGAATGCTAAAATATTCTTTATATTATTGTGCTTTGGAGTGGCCGAACTCATAAGGTGCTTATTATTTTCAAAGGATCATCTAATGCGTCTGGTTTGTAATTATTCCCTCTTGTTTATGACTTTATAAAGTATCAAAGATTAAGTTTTTCAAACCAATATATTTTTTCATGGTGTAATTAAATTACTAAGCATTATTAAGTGAGTCATACTAAGTACAGACTTAGACTTATTAGTTTAGCTTCAAAATGTCTTTTATTTCATTATTTTAAATTATATCCTACTTCTGTCTGGGCACCCGGGCGGTATCACAGCCCTCACACAAATGAGGCTTATGTGGCACATATGTATCTGGTGCCCCCTTGTACCAGTATTTATGTGTTCAAATAAATAATATCCTGTAAACTGCTGAATTGATAAAAGAAAATTTTATAAGTTTGTGTGCAGTTGTTCATTTCAGGATAAAATATTGAAAGTATTCCTGTCTTTTTTATTGCCTGTAAAAGTGTTAAGAATGTACTCTATTTTGAACGCAGACCAAAACAAGAGCGAGGACAAATGGCTAGTAAAGATGGCTATTTATCTGTGTCCATGGCAGATCTGCACAACCCACATCTCAGTTATCCAATAGTTAGCCCCAATCGTTCTGGGAAATTTTATCGTGGTGAATGTATTCTTATCAATCAACGAGATTTTCACCCTTCAACTAATCAATCAAGACGTGATGGTACAGATGTTGATGCTGATCGTGTTGAAAGAGTTTTCAAGAGCTTAAATTATAAAGTAACGCGCATCCTCAACATTACAAAAAGCGTACTTCATCAGACTCTTCTGGAAGGTGAGCGTTAAAATGTTCATCGGGGATGATTTATTTATGGTCGATTTTGTTTATCGAAATTTTATTTCTGTACATATTATTCTCTCAATATTCAAACTTGAAACAGTTTGTCTCCAAGTTAGTTCGGATCGATTGTTTATTTTATGCCAATTGCATTAGCAATTTTGTTGCAGTCTGAAAGCGACACGTTTCCATATATCCGTTACCGTATAAATCTTTACCAATTTCATCAGTAATTGTCTTTATTACTATCTAATTATCGTTAGGTTTAAGAAAATTGTTTTTAAAAAATACTGTTTTCGATTTTACGGATCATTTAAGGTTACCACTAACGGCCTGTTATTTAGTCTTGTGAATACTGGGGAGTGTCACTTAATTTCCAACGTCTTGTTGCTCTTAGTTTTACAGCATTAATACTTCCTATCTCGAAGGAAATGTACCTGGAGGTTTTCTAACTTATTTTTTTGGTAGTTTCTAGTCTCAATTATATTCATTGTTAATTTTTCAAATAAATATCTAGTTGTTTTTTTATACAATTAATAATTGACTAGGTTGACTATAAATAATATGTGTTGGAGTAGGAAATCTAAATTTTCTTGAAACACCGGTATTTATTTAAAAAATACATTGTACATTCTTCTTTATGGATACACTTTTGGAGTTTTACTTTTTTATTGTGTTATTATTGAAAAACGTTCACATTTCTTCACTAACAGAGAGGTGACTTATCAACACAGCTTCATGATCAAGTTCACTCTGTTATGTTTGATTCGTATAATGTTGTTGTATTTATAGTGCCAGAGTCTATTTATTTACTGAATCATATACTGAACATATATCACTTATCAATATGTCCATCAAATATTTCAGTATTTCAAACAACTGATTTTGTATAGTTTGATAACATTATCAAAAATATTTTCGCAGATGACTAAATTTTGGATTATAAAACTATTTAGTTTGATTACATGCAACCAATGTTTATTTGATGTATTTAGTGAATCATTTAAAACTAAAAAAATGCTAACTATATTTGTTGCTTATTGTTCCATGATAAAATATATTGTAGGTTGTAATTCGTTTTCAGTAATTACTATTATTTGTAACGCATGTCAAATCGCAGCTGGAATTTTAGTTAGTCAGGTAATTTAAGTTAATTAGACAATTAAATGAGAAATATTTGTAACCTCATATAGTATTACAGGAAATGCAATGAAATACAACGATAGCAAGAAAAATGAAAACAGTTATTTATGTTTTGTGAATTAATACAATGTCAACTGATATGACCATAAAAATTAATATTTAAAACAAGATGTAATGGGTGGCAAGTAATATTGAGAAACGCACGACACAAGGTAAATGACGAGTGTCATACTGAAATAAAAACCAATGTTTCACTAAACAGATATCGCAGTTGATTAAGATATGATTTTAAACTTTATCCCTTCCTAATATTAATGGATATGTTGTTTTAGCATTTCACTAAAGCTAAGGCAGTAGACACAATTATATTAGTTGAAACGATTTATCTTTTACACCAGTTGAATAGGGTCACCTGAATACTATCTTGCAAGACATTGGTGTCTGCTTGACAAATATGCGTGAAGGACTTCTTTAAACTCTCTTACTTATTAAGTTTACGTAGAAAATTTCCACTCGATTTCCTACATCAAATTAGTTTACTCGTAATTATAATAAGAGTTAACAAAGTATCCTATGCTATACCAAGTGGTAAATTCATGTTTATGCATCAATCGTTTCCAATAGTTTCTACATAATACCATATACAGAAATAGTTTATTATATGAAAAGAAAATTTGACGAATTATTGATAACAATAATAATCATAATATTTGTAACTATTTTCTCTGAATTATTTCAGCGTATGAAATTTAAGCACACACCGTTGTTTATCTAGTCAATTTTTATTTCAATTTAAACAATGAACTTTCCATTCTTAGTGTATTCTTTTCCAATGTATTTCATTTAATAACAATAGCTTAGAATTTATATACCATGAATTTCGTTTGCTATTTTATAAACTCTTCTCATAAAAGCTTTTATATGTCAGTTATTTGTTATACTGGCTTAAATTTATCAAAGACCATATGTTTGCGTATTTACCTTTTCAGTATTAAACAAAAGAATTTACTTTGTAGATTCTATTAAGGACCATAGATTATTTATTCCATTGTTAGGGTCTTAAAATCTCCAACTGTGTGGCATGCAAATATACCATACAACTACCAGTGAGATTTTGTATTTTCGTAAAATAGTTGATTTTTACTTGCGAGAAGTTGTTTTTTTTCGGAGTCATTCATACTTATCTCAGTTGGATACCATTAATCACTAGGGTTTATCAACCAGCTGTTTCTTCCTAGTATGAAACTTCTCAGCAGTACTCACCGTCGACTGCCCGCCTAGAGATTGTCAACTCAGTCATCGGAAGGCTAGGAATTCACCGTGAAATCTGAAACTACATGATCTAGACTGAGCCAATCTTCTCACCTATTCGACAATTTCCTTTTTGCTTTTATTCAGTCAAAATTGTCTTGTGATATGTTTGATAATGTCCCTAATTGTTTTATGAAGAGATTTTTACGCAACTTGTTAAAAATACAACCTTGTCTTTCTTCATACTGTTATCTCTCGTTTCAGCCTCTCAAACAGATCATTCATCATATGATAGTTTCATTTTTGTCATGTTATCACATGGAGACAATAATATAGTATATGCAAATGATGGTGAAGTCCTAACAAGTTATATTATGGCTTTTTTTCGTGGTGATCGGTGTCCTTCCTTGATTGCAAAACCGAAGTTATTCTTTTTCCAGGTTAGTTGGATTGAAAGTGTATGATTAACTGCAGTGTTTCCTTTCCTCGAGTTTCCGTTGTCATTGAGTTTGTAGCTCCTTCTTTCCTCTCAATATATTTGATACTTTGACACGTATAGTCTGTTCAGTATATACTCAAAATGAGGTCATAAAACTTCGTTTTACGAAGTGTATAGTAGACTAATCGGATCCCCTTCAACGTGTTCCCTGTCTTCCGCAATGCACTTGTCCCTTTTACCGTTATCATTCAGTCAGTCAGTCAGTAACAACGTAGAACTTCGTACGTACGTACATCAGCTCGAGTTGCCACACCACCTTAGCACAGAGATGCAGTTGTCGATTCAAATCCCGTAGTGGTAGAGGTAATAAGAGTATAAGCAGTAATCGGGAAGATTAGGGCTTGGAGATGTTATTTAAAGAGTATAATCCAGTGAAATAAATTTGGAAAGAGAAAAAAAGGGACATGAAGAATTCAGAAGATTAGAATTTGGAAGAACACAAAGAGTGGATGCACCTGCGCCATTGCAAACGATTTTGAGCCATGTCATTTAGGGTCTCTAACCATCGGTTGCTATCATCTCACGGTCCCCAACCAGGTAGTCTACACCTACCAACATGACTCAGTTCACTTGTCAGTGACTTCATGGACTTGTGCCATGTTTTGGTCTGGCCGCCCCTAGCTTTCTTCCAACCTACTCCTATACCATTGAACATAGCACGTCGAGGCAGTCGGTCGTGGGGCATACGTAACACGTGTCCCAGCCATCTCAACTGATGAAGTTTCACTACTTCATCAATTGATTTGCCATCCTTACCTAGTACCCGTTTCCTAACAACTGTGTTACTCACTCGATGGTCCCATGATATACGAGCAATGTTTCGAAGACACCTATGATCAAATACTAGTAGCCTACGGATATCCTCTACTCTTACCGGCCATGTTTCACTGACATAAAGTAGGACGGAACGAACTGCTGCGTAGTAAACACGTCTTTTGGTTGATAGACGGATATCTCGCCTACACCATAAATGACGCAAGTTGGCAAAAGCTAGTCGAGCCTTCTGTATCCGTGCTGAGATCTCGTCACACACTAAACCACAAGGGCTGATGGGACTTCCAAGATAAGTGAAGCGGTCGACACGCTCAACTACTTCACTCCCTATCATTAGTTCGGGTGTCGATGCAACCCAATCCTGAAGCAACATTTTGCATTTCGAGGGAGAGAATCGCATCCCGAACATGCTTGCATGTTGCTTCACAGTCTCCTATTTAACCGTGATCGTATGCTTTGGCATTTCCTCTAAACTCAATTCACCAGAAGTCACTCGCATAGTGAAATAGACTGTCGGGAATAACAAGAGACCACACAAGTTAAATTTTTCCATCAACACAGAAGCTCAACAATACACGTAGCCTTTTGGTCTCTACAGCCCTTTCTGAAAACCTTGGACCGATTGAAAACTTTTTACAGTAAATTATCTTTACAAACAATCCTCAGCATTTCATGAATTTTCTCCATGTTTCTCCAAGACTTTGATATTCAGTCGTCTCATATTCACCGGATAGATTCTATATCCATTCAGTTTAAATTATTTCCACAAACTGTTTATGCAGCTCCAGTTCACTGGTTCATATGTCTGGCTATGTGTTTATAAATTCTAACTCAATTATACCTTCGTAAGCTTAAGCGACTCTAGAATTCATAATAAAATTTAGGTTCAATACCTAATGCACGGGTTTGTATTTTATTAATGAATTAAATTGATTTGTAAGTCAGTCGATAAAGTTGTTCATCTTTATAGGTTAATGTGCATAGTATGAAGATCAAGTAAAAACTTAGCTTATTATTTGACTTAGAAATAGTCAAAAAGGAAGAATGATCAGATAAGTAAAAAATAATGTGAACCACGTGTTTATTAAGATGTAACCGGTTGGGATCTTTAATAAAAATCAAAGTATTAGGAACTGCCTTGATTTTCACTCAATAAAAACACACACATTCTGTTAGATCCCGATAAACAATGAATGGTAACTTTGGGATCCTTTTATAGAGCAATACTAAACGTATATTTTTATCGTATAATTGTTAAATAACTAAACTATTCATATTCCTCTTATTATAAACTTTATTTTGACCTAAGAACCATTATTATACGTTTTACCATTCTTAAATTATGCCTTCTCGATTAATTACTACCTCCCACATTCACAGCCACATTTGGCCAAATTTTGTACAAATGTTATTTTCTATTTTATGATACGTTGTGGTCTGTTTGATTAGTATATAAACTCAGTATGTTTGAAATATAAAGACTCATATTGCAGAGGCTGAGACTAGTGTTCTTTACTTAACTGGCTGGGCTAGGCGGAAAGAAGGACCAATCAGGACTCTAGGCTGCTCGCACGTGTTTTACGCGTCCTTGGTCCGATCGATAATTCTCTGCTTCTGATTGGCGGCTTTGGGCTATAACACATTCATACATGTCTTCCTTCTCGTTACTGCCTTACTCCCCAATATACTTCCTCATCGCTTACTTGTGAATTTCATTAATTACTAACAATACGCGTTTTCTTAACACAACTGGTATTGTAGCATCTAAATATTCCTAAGTGAATTCATAGCAATGCTAAGAGAATTAGTCTTCTAAGAAATACATTGTTAACGTGTCATCATAGTTCGGTTTCGAAATTGAGGAAGTAACTTCTACAACTATACGTTAAATAATTCAAAGTCAATGTCATTTCCACAAATGCATCCACTGTTGTTATAAATATCTTTATCATTCTGTGATTTTATGATTTTGCATTCAGATTTCTAACTGTTCTTTTTCTACTGATCAATTTACTGCTGTATCATTGTTGCCACTTTTGATTTTCCTCATATTAGCCTACATCTTTTTTATTGTGCTAATGTTCGAAGTGTTTTATCCTAAATTTATCCTATTTCAATACGTTATTTGCATTCCTTTGTTTGCACTTCACAAACACAGAATCTTTTAAATAAAACCAGATCAAATATTGATGCAGAATAATAGGAATTCATTATATTTCGCGCACGTAAAATCTGCCTGGAAGAAGAAATCGCTCTAATCACTAATTGCCTACGTGAAAATACATATCCGGCGAAATTCATCCATAAATATGCAATTACCAACCCTCGGTTAAAGCATGATACGGTGGAAAAGAAAACTTGCTCTTTATACTTACGCTCCAAAGGAGATGAAATTACTGGAATAATTAGTCATTGAATAAATTCCACGTTGAAAGTGACCTACCCAGCAGCAAAACTGACGACGGTATGGGAAACGAACTGCTCACTCAAACAAACTAAAATCGACAAGTCCTCTTTTCTCAGTAGCTCCAACTGCATTTACCAGTTCACATGTACGTGCCAAAGCACATACATTGGAAGAACTGAGAGAGGGGTACATGTTCGCATTTCTGAGCTTGTTTCAAAGAATTTGAGGCTGCGAGGGACTAGGGATCTCAACAGTGCAATAGCTCGGCATTTACTTGACACCGGGCATACCATCGACATTCTTCATGCTTTTAAAATTATTAGCAAACAAAGAATTACAGCTGCTCTCCGTTTTGTTGAAGCGATCGTGGCAAAAAAAACTTAAACCGGATTTATGTATTCAAAAAGACAGTAATAAACTTATTATTACCCTGGTAACCCTATTTTTTGTTTTTGGTTATTAGTGTTATTTTATTTACTTATTTTTTAAAATATTTAGTTTGTGTTATATTCCTCTCCCATTACCGAATTCTTAAACCACCCTCTCATTCACACATTTCCCCTCACTTGATCCTCTTAAATTATGTGAACCCTTCAAATTCTACTCGATTATTACGTGACCCATCTCATCAGTTTTTAATTCCATAAATCCTTCATTACCTCTAAAATTACCATACAATTTATCTTATCTGTCTCTGAACTCCACTCAACTATTATAGCACCCATCCTTAATGTTTCCTTGATTCTAATACCAAATAACCTCTGACCTGTTCTTGCATATATATATATATAGTTATTATTGATAACCTTTGTCATCCCAATTATTTACATTCAATTACTTCAATTGTTTCATACTATTTGTTACCTCCATGTTAAATTCTAATACATATTTGACTGTAAGCAGCTGATGAGAAACCACGAAATATAATGAATTCATATTATTCTGCATCTGTATTTGTTCTAGGTTTATTTAAATTCATAAAGGGAACTAATTGCATGACAGAATCTTTTATTGATGAGTTTAGAATATCAACATAGTTACATACAGCATGCTTAATACTTTCTGTTTATTCCTTTTACATTCCTGACCGAAGCTTCAAAGCATCAAACCATCATAATCCAAATTATTTACTAAGTACACCTCAAATGAATATATATATATATGCTGATGTTTCACATTACCATTAACAAGTTAGTAAATCACAAAACCCCATAACATCAGTCAACAATGCTTTATTTTATACATTAGACATCATAAACTTATAAAATGATCATTTAAATAGAATAAATTATATACTATTGAATAAGTCATATGAATGTATTCAATAAAAACTAAGTAGATTTAAAGTACATTAAACGTTAATTATATTGCATATTAGTACTTATCATCACATTACTTGCACTAGTTGTAAAGTTAGTGCGGTCATCGAATTCAATAATAGAGCTATTTCCCTTGATTTTTTTTAAAACCTATTCTTCGATCATTCAACAAAATACTATGTTTTTACTGTTACTGTTAGTTGGGTAATTAATATCATATTGTATTTTGTTCATTGTTGATTAAATTCTATTGAGTAAATTTGCAATTCCAATGTTAAATAGTTTATCATTACAATTCTATTCTACGTGATATCAAATAACAGAAGGTAATAGAAAGAATACTGTGAACTAACGCCTTTCCAATAATTTTTTCCGCCCGAATTCATATCCATTATGTAAACCTATACTGTTGGGTAGAAAAAAGAACTTAACAACAACTTGACATTATCTGTATTATTCATGGTCTTACTGCTTATCCTTAGGAACAAGGACTAGTGTAATTCTCCCGATACAAAGATTAGTACACTAAAGGTTTATCGACTCTTCATCATCATTAGACCAAGATAAATTCATCTACAGACTGGTTTTCTGCACATACTTGATAGCATCACATATATGAGAAAATGTATAGAGTATACTTCCAGTTTCTCATAGATATGATTAGTATAAGTGGCTAAATAGTAAAGCTCAAAATTGCAACCCATTGAACAGTGTGGTAAACGTGTTTCTGCCACAGATTTTGGTTCATGTTGCCATGTGGCTTGAATAATTTGTCCTATTTTTGAACTAATCCTTCCGAATCGTCCAACTAACTTTCCCGTTTTTATTTAGTTAAATGTGTATATAAAAGGTAATTTTGCTAAACAATAATTCTCTGTAGTTAAAGGCTATGCTTGCGGTACAGACGAAGCAATAGTACTAATTATTCGTATTTTGCCCTGAAATCCGTCCATCATCGTGTTAATATGTTGCTATAGAAGTTATTCGAATAACTCGACTACCCTTATAACTTTTACTGCATATGTTTTGCGCTTATCTAACTAGCTACCGTAAAATATCTTATTAGAAAGAATTTATTAAATCGAGAGGAAACGTCATGGTGGACAGCATCGTATCTCGTCACATACACCGAGTAATAATGTGTTAGAATAGAGAAAATGTTTCAGCTATTTTAAATCAATGTTTTGATATTTTGAAATATTTACATATCATTTTTTGAAGGCTTGTCGAGGTGCTGCATTTGATAAAGGTGTTTCCACTATGGTAACAGATGCAGGTGAAGATTTAATTGTGCACAAGTTGCCGATAGAAGCAGATATACTAGTTGCATACTCCACAGTACCAGGTATGTCTCCATAAATTTGTTCGCTATGATTTCTTTAAGTCATATAAATTACCAAATGTTTCTACGTATTGGGAACCTGTTGGAATAACTTACTTTCTTAACAAGTATGTACAAGTCAGTGAATACCCAAATTGATTTCATAATATGTTAGGGTTTGTAGCAAACTACTGTGTTCGAGTCACAATTTGAAAATCAACACAAGGATGGAGGTGCATTCAGCTAATGAGTCCTATGTAAGACAAAACGCGCCTACTGTATCCCACTGCTAGCCATAATGTATCTTCACTAAATGCTTTTTAAGAAATTTATTTTTTATGTTAGTAAAGCAAGCCATTTTCGTCTCTTGATTTTTTTTTATAAACATCTTTAGGTGTTAATTAAAATGACCCATTATATTGTTATAGGCAAACGGTATTGTTAGTTTACTTGTTGTTTATTATTATCATCACTTCAAATGATAATTAAGGTGTGTCGCCAGTAGGACTTATTTATCTCGACGGTTACTTCTCACCTGCCTGGATTACCAGTCCTCAGCTATACCTCAGTAGTAAAACCCTAAGGTTGTTTAACTTTTAATTAAGGACAAGTTGCAATTTTTTCTTTGGTTGTCGCTCTAATTCATTAACCTTCAAATGATTATTGAGGTATATTTTGTTTCGCTTTAATATGTTTCTGGGAGTAGGGAAGTTTTTTATTCCTACTAGTAATATAAACTTTTATTTCAAGTCCAAAGGATTAAATAAATGCAGGTTCCATGAATATATTGTGTAACTTGATAGCAAACAACAAATAACTGAAAGATCACTTGAGATCGATGGAATACTATGAAGTTGTTTTACCATTTAAGCGAATGAGCATCATAACGTACACCTATAATCTTACAAGCGATTGCTTAAGTTATTTGCATGTACCTTATGTGCTCGCTCCCAAACTGGAAAGTCCTGGGCTAGTAAATTTTTATTTAATCAATCCTTCAATTATTATCATATTTACATCAGCCTATCATGTTTTTTTTAAAGGTGTTCAAATAGTATCTATGAGCTAAACATATTAACTCAATTATAAAAAACGTAGTAGTTTTCACCAAATTTCCAACAAAATAATTAAAATAACCCAAATTTTATGTTTCGGTATTTTAGGTTTTTTTGCTTGGCGTAACTCCTCTTCAGGCAGTTGGTTTATTCAAGAACTATGTAATGCACTTGAATCCGATATGAAAAGTGCGAATCATTCAGATATTATGTCTCTTCTCACAGTAGTTGCCCGTGTAGTAGCCTATCAATATCGATCGAATACAGGTCAAATTGAGACGGATAATATGAAACAAATGACAAGTAGTGTTAGTACTTTAACACGATTATTTTACATAAATGGACCACCATCATGAAAAAAGCTGAAGGTTCGCAGTAATTTAAGAAATAGACTTCAGGAAAATTAACATATCTTTCATGAAAAATAAACGCTCGTCTATACTTTCTAACAAAATCTTAAAGTTGCACGATTGTTTTTTATTCTTATCACACGCATATTCACATTGCAACTTTTATTTCTTTAATGATTGTATCTGTAAAACCATTTTTAGAAGCATTGATGCACAGCGCTTTTTTCAATTAAATCAATAACTTTAAGACGAATCACAATCCCATGTGCTGTGTCTTTTATTACTCCTAGTTGTTGTCTGCAGACCGACTTTTATAATGTTCAAATTGTTTAAAATTTCAGTGAGTTTCCCTTACCCCCTGCCAAAAAACTACATCACTTTTAAATATAGTCAATGTGCGGATTATGTGGAAGTTTATATCTTTGGAAACTTGCTCTATCTAATCAGCTATATATATATATATATATATATATATATAGGAAACCCTGGACCCGGGTTTCGTGCTACTTGGCACTCGTCAGCAAGGTGTACCTGTAATCTTGAGGGAACTGGTGCTCCCTGGCGGATTCGATCTCGTGTCACCCAGCTTCACAGTCAGAGACGTTACCACTGAGCTATCCGAGCCGTGACTAACTTCCTGTAGGACTGAGATGTAATCACAATTGATTGATCACTGGGTGGTGATCAATCTCATGCTTGTCTAGTCCTTATTAGTGCAGATCGAATGCTATCGACCAGTTCCCTCAAGATTACAGGTACACCTTGCTGACGAGTGCCAAGTAGCACGAAACCCGGGTCCAGGGTTTCCTGTTGACTACCTCCAACCACCATCTAATCTCAATACATAGTGCCCGCAGTGTCGAGTCACCTAGACTGGTGGCCACATTGCAACATGATCGATAGCATTCGATCTGCACTAATAAGGACTAGACAAGCATGAGATTGATCACCACCTAGTGATCAATCAATTGTGATATATATATAAAACAGAATTTCACCCTACAAAAATCAACATTAAAGGTTCTAAGTGGCTATTATTAATAAAACTAATCGCCAGTTTATCAATAGACGCTTTTCTTCCGACATTCTCTTCCTTTCTAATCGGTGTTAACAATTTTTAGCAAGACGACAAAGGCTAACTGTCCTGAGGTCGTTTTATAAAATGATTAATGAGTGTTGACAATCCACCCATTAGTTACCATGACTTGGACGTCCGACAGTGTTGTAAGCAATTTCGATGACAATACAATGGTTAGCGGATTATATAGAGCATAGATAATCGCTGAGAGCATGTTCTTGTCTATATGGCATTTTTATTTATAATGAGACTATCTACACTAGTGTTTCGCTGTGAATTATTCTTGAAGTAGAAAGCCTACAAGAAATGATTTCCCTTGCCAATTTATTCCAAGCTACTTCAAAGCAGGTAGTAGTGTTTTGTTTGAATTGTGTGTATATCAATAATGGGAAAGATTATGTAAATGTTTTTCAATATTCAATATGTATGCAGTGTCGAGTATTTTCCCGTTCATTTATTAAGTACTACACATAAAAGTATTATTTCCACGTAGCAGAGCACTACTAAAATTTCGTTAATTTAGATATACGTCCATTCTAAATAAATTTAAAGGAATCATTTAAGGTTCTAAATGGCTGATGTTGATGTAAAGTTTTATGGCTGTATATTTGCACACAATTCAAATTGACTTGTAATTTGGAAAAAATCTGGACAAGCGGCGAAGTAGAGTGTATCATCTCATTTAGTTTAGTTCACAAACGTTAAAGCCACTCAATCGCTATAAAATAATTCTCTTAGTGGAACCGAATAATAGATACTACGATGAGTAAGCACAAAAAATGCTGCATTATTATGCTAATTGGTACTATATCTTCTACACTTGGATTTCCGTTTGTTACATCCCAACAGGGGAATTCTTTCGCTTTTATACGTTGTATTTAGGTGTTCATCCTCATATGAAACGTAGAGTATGTTGCCTCAGTGCATGACTTATAAGATACCTTTTTATAGGAAAGTATAAAATAATTTTGATGAAGTGGCGTGCTAAGAGGAATTAAATGAAGGCAACACGTTGCTGATAGCAGATATCGGATCAATGAATATTCTGTTCTAGATCCAATGAACTGTAACCAAATATGACAAGGGAGCGGCAAAATTATTATGATCAGTTTGTATGCCTCACGCAAATTTGAATACGAAAATGACTAATTGAATACGATTAAATACTTAAAGCCAATTAGCTGCATTGTTCTATATTTGATCCAGTCACTAACCAACTGCTCATAATGTTAAAAAACATCGAAAATTAGTTATGAACAACGGTTCGGTGCTTCGTCTTTCACATTTTTGGTTGGCTATCGATGTTGGCTGGCCATCTGTGTTACCCCTTTCGTCTCAGAATATAAAGATAATCAATATTATGTAATAAGCAAATGAATAGTGTTATAGCCAAACGAAGAATAAATGAGTGGCAACGGCTAGGGTAACCATTAAGTAAACTACATTATAAGTATATTCATATTCCTTTTATTGTAAGTTTCCATTTGACTGACCTATTGACTACTACTATACAATTTACTGTTCTTAACTTATTCCCAATTTATTAGTTACAGTCTCTTACAATCACAACCAATTTTTTCGGACATGATCTAGTATAATTGTTATTTTCTATTTTATGGTATGATGTTGTCTGGTTTTCCTGTCTGAAGTATATGATTCATACAGCGGAATCTGACATTGGTGTTCTGGACTCAACAGGCAGGTTCAGACGAGAAAGACTAGGCTGTTTGTACTAGCATCATGCGTTATTGGTCAAGGCCACACACGTATTCTATCTGACGATATTACCACGTGATAGACTGAGAGGGCCAGAAGACATAACATGTAGTAATGATTGCATCATTCAGAAAAACGTAAATCATATGACAAGTAATTTTGATGTGATAAACCGAAACAGGAAACGCTTAAAACAAGATTTGGAAAAGCGGTATTTTTAGGAAAAAAACTTTTTAAGTTGAAGTAAAAGAAAATTGTAGTTTTGAGTGCAAAAATAAGCACAAAATTATATAATTCAATCATCTTTAGCTAATTTTATATCTTGTAAAACATATAAACTTGGTGAACAAACAATATCACGATGAATTAAGTCTCTGGCTTCATCTATTTTCAAGCTTAAAATGTGATTACCAAATTGACGACATGCACCAGAAATATGACGAATTAATTCATCCAATTGTAGTAAACTTTTAATTAATGAACCTTCTGGTATATCACATTTTGATATGGTTGCAGAAAATGAATAACCATTAGCCCATTTATAAACTACTGGAACTATACGTAGATCGAGTCGACTTTCCAAATATGGGTCAGTTAAGTTATGACGTCGTTGTAATGTTTCCAGCTACAAAATAAGTTTTCGCATATATATAATATACAATATATATAAAGAGAGCCAAAGCTAAAATGAAAACTGCAACAAGTAAGCCTTACGAGTGCCAACTAGCACGAAACCATGATACAGGATTTGGTCCCAATGATCTTATAAGCTATTACACTGTTGTATACCTTCAACTGACATCATGATTTACCACTATTCAGTAAAGTTTGCTGATGTAGGAGTTATTCCGAAGAAAGCTGAAGGTGAAAAAACCCAAACATGGACTCAGTTTACAAAGTCGTTAACTGTTGAACTGTACTGTTGTTAAACTCAGATTACCTAACTGGGTTCCACGACAATTACCATAACCAGTTGTTAGTGATGTCGGATAACAGTGCTAAGATGCAGGTGTATTCACGTTTGTCTTAAAATACCAGCCAGCTACAAACGTAGGACCAGGCACATATATGCATCATCAACTGAGTTACCATCATTCCCCAATACCCTGCGTATAATTCATTATTACTCACCCAGTGATAATAGCAGATGCAAGCAATATTTCTAAGACATCTTTGGTCAAATACTAGTAGCTTACGAGTATCTTCTACTCTTAATAGCCACGTTTCGCAGCCATAAAGTAAAACAGAACGAACTGCCGCACAATATACTCGTCCCTTAATTGATAGGTGAATAACTCGCATTCGCCATTGGTGTGAGTTGGCAAAAGCCAAACGAGCATTCTGAATCCGGGCCGAGAACTCGTCAGATGCCAAACCGTTGGGGCCGAACAGACTTCCAAGATAAGTGCAGTTGTCGACGCGTTCGAATACTTCACTCCCTATCCTTAGTTCAGGCGTTGCCGCAGACCAGTCCTGAAGCAACAACTTGCATTTAGAGGAGGAGACGCATCCCAAACATTCTGGCGTTGTTACTCAGTGCTACCAAAAGACTGCATTTTATCAGCGTCTTCACCAAACAGAACTATATCATCTGTGTATTCTAAGTCGATAAGTGGACCTCCTGGTAGGAGATCAATACACGAAAATTCAGTCGACGATAACGTTGTTGAACAAAATGGAGGTGGTGAACAACCTTGACGGAAACCACGTGAAGTTGCGAAATCAGGTGACAGTTCGCCATATTCATTATATTATTCATTTACTTGAACACGCAAATATTGTTACAAGGGGGCACCAGATATATTTGCGCCAAACAAAACAATGAGAATGGGAAGAAAACAAGAATGTAAGTTATGTATAAGAAAAAAATGAGAGAACAATGACGTCCACAGATAAATGTATGACAGTGTAATAATAATAGGGGAAACAGAAAGATACAATCAGAAATAATTCTTTTAGTTAAGGATGTTACAACCACTTTTTATGAAGAAAGTAAAAGAAGGTTACAGCAGCATCGCCATATCTGATAACGTCTCTAGCCATTGTGTAGCACCATCTCACGGACACCAACCAGAGAGTCGTGAAGGACCGACACAAGCCAGTCCTTTGCAGCTTTCTTTCATACCACGACACCATGTCATATACTGACCACCTCTCCACTTTTTCCAACCAGTCCCAGAGTCGGCAAATAATGCACGATGTGGGATTCTCTGAGACGACATTCGTAGAACATGTCCAAGCCACTGAAGTCGGTGTTTCATGATGATGACACCTATTGCATTATCGTCACTGTGCCCGAACACACGATGCCGAACCTCTGCATTACTAAAATGGTGTTGCCACTGGATGTCAGCAATCCTTCGGAGACAACCATGATCGGACGCAGAAAGTCGTCTAACGTCCTCAACCTAGGAGAGGCCAGGTTTCACAGGCATAGAGCAAAACTGCTCTCACCGACGCGTTTTAGATCAAACCTTTTGCAGAGAGCCAGACATCACGAAGGCGTCAAATATGGCCGAGATGGGCATAAGCCGCTCTTGCTTTCACTATACGTGCATTGATCTCATCACTCACACCACCACCAGCACTTATACAGCTACCTAGATACACGAACATCTCGACTACTTCTATCTGTTCACCATCCAGAGTGAGTACAGAATTAGAATCCTGCCAGTCTTGTAGAAGTACTATGCACTTCGAAGGTGCAAAGCACATACCATACCTACGGACATTGATTGCCAGGTGATTAAGTACGGGTTGTATGGCTTGGACATTGTCGCACAGTAAGACAATATCGTCCGTATACTCAAGGTCGAGAAGTCTTTCTCCAGGCAACAGATCCACACTGTCATTACTTACATCCATCAGAGCTGTTTCCAGAATGTCATCGATGGCAAAGTTGAAGAGCAATGGTGAGATTAGGCAACCCTTCCTAACCCCACTGCTTGAATGGAACAATGGAGAAAGATGGTTGTATGCCCTCACTCTGCCTGAGGTGTTTGTATATAGGGGCACACCCTTCTTCCATGGACAATCCCAGAGAACAGTCCTGTCCAATGAATCGAAGGCAGCCCTGATGTCAAGAAACACTACGATTGTTGGCTTTTGATGAGTATGACGGTGCTCTAACATTTGGTGGAGGGTGAAGATATGATCAATACATCCTCGACCAGAACGAAAACTAACCTGCTCCTCGCGAGTCAATCTTCCTCTAGTTTTGAACAACCTACGAAGTATGACAGAAGCCAATAATTTGGAAGCAATCGGATGTAGACTTATCCCCTGATAGTTGTTACAGGAACGACGTGAACCGTTTTTAAAGATAGGAACAACTATCTACTCATTCCATGAAGTTGGAACACTAGCTCCCAAACCTTTGTAAACAACGTTGTCAGTTATTTAACCAGAAAGTCACCACCATCTTTAAAAAGAGCCGGAGGTAAGTCATCTGGGCCCGGTGATTCGTAGCGCTTTAAGAGTTGGATGTTAGTGATTGGCATCCCGTCAACCTCAGAGAGTATTTCGCTCACACCAGACTTCTTGCTGCCAGTGGCTCGGATGAGTTGGAAGAGTTTCCGGTAGTTACCAGACGCAGCTGCTGCTTCCAGCTCATTAGCACGCTCCGACCACCATGCTTCTCGGTCCTTACGCAAGCTTTGCCTAATTCCATTACGTAACAACCTTCGTTTGTGGTCGAACTCACGGTCACCCGGAGTAAACCGACGGGCTTCAATAAGTTGCAAGGAGCCCGAGAAATCCAGTGCTTATAAGCGGGACGTTTCGCTAACCCACAACTGACTGTACCCGCCATTTTCATGGCGTCATGCAATTGCAACCAATGCTCATCTATACTTTTCGGTGGAATGGTAGCTAGCCTAGAAGCTAGCTCGGTTCGATACTTACTAGCAACAGTAGTTGCAACCAGCTTGCTAACAAGATTGGCGCAGACCAAGGCATGGTCAGAGTCCAGATAGGTACTCTAAAAGGAGCGGCAGTCTTTTACACAACCACGCCAGTGGTAGCTGATCGCGATGTGATCAATCTGAGTCCAGGCTTGGGATGCAGAGGGAGGACGCCAGGTGGCACATCGGCGATGACTGTGCCGAAAGTTAGTGCTAGCCAGAAACAGGTTGTGGTCCGTGCACAGTTGTAGTAGACGGTCTCCGTTATTCGACCCGCGACCAACAAGTCCCCATCGGCCACCTAAACGACTCTCTTCTCTGCCTAGACGCCCGACCTGAGCATTCAAGTCTCCGGCTAGTACTACAATATCTGTCGAACGCACTTTCTGGAGAAGAACAGATAAATGGTGGTAGAATTCATCCTTGATTGCATCCGGGCTACAATCAGTCGGGGCATAGGCGGAGATGACGAAAAGACATCGTTTCTCACGCCGATTTCTTCTCACTTTGATGGAACTTTCTAATCTAACAACACATAAACGACTGTTAATGGGGATCCAATCAATTAGTGCTGCCTCAGCTCTAGCGCTTAGTGCGACACCAACGCGAGCAAGACCAGACGAAGATGCCACAGGGTCCCCGGATAAGCGCACGTAAAACAAGCTTTTCGAAGCGACAGGTCGAGAGCGAATTTGTAGTACTTCACCATAGTCTTGAATACGAATCTCGGTTAGACATCGGACGTTGATATTAAGACTTTCCCAAGACACACCCAGTCCTATCTGTTGTTCGACCTGCATAAATGTGCGAACGTTGAAGGAAGCCAGTTTGAATGGTGCACGTGGTTTCAGAAAATCTGCTTCAGTATTCGTATTCGATGGTGCCATTCAATTTTCGACCAGTCAGTGACTGGACAGAACGGAGTTTCCACCATAGGCGAGCTGCTGTATAAGTCGAAAAAAATAGTATAGACAGAGTAGGAAAAAAAGAGGGTGAATAATGACGTAGTAAATAATAATAATAATAATTTGAATCATTTGATTGTTAGTGGAAGCAAGAAAAGTAGTTTCCGTAAATACAGATAGTTCATCATTTGTGTGTGGGCTGTGATACTGCCCGGGTGCCCAAACTGAAGCAGGTGGTATTCCTAGGGCGCCACACTCGGAGCCTTCGACCTAAAGGTCTGATCCACAAGGCAGTGGAGCATCGTGAGGAGATTCAGTCCCATGGTAGCCGGTGACCAATAATAGCTTTATACACCATTTGTTCCCTCAGGATACTGGACCCATGTGCACTATTGGTTTAGGATCAGGGTTTCCCTTAGGTGACTCACCGGCACGGTTAAAGCGCCGAACATTCGCTTTTCGTGCGCTCAATTTTGTAAACAGCACACCGGCCACGAGAAGGCAGTGAGTAGGACTTCCCCGACAGAGGTTGTATACCCGTGGACGTGTGAGCGTTTGGAGAGGGCGGGCACTCCCCACTCTCGGCTGTACTAGGGCCCTGACTCGACTAGTGTTCGAGTAAAGAGCCTTCACAAGGTTTATGTACTTCTGAAGTACGCCTTTTAATGACAGACACTGCCATAGAACCTCTCGGTTTACAGAGTCAAATGCTGCTTGCATGCTTGTGTTCTAGAACCTGACGAATGGTGAATACGTGGTCGATGCAGCCACGACCAGGTCTGAAGCCAGCCTGATTTTCTCGTGTTTGCAGTTCACGAGTCTTAGTCAGGCGATCGATAATTATTGACGCTAATATTTTACATGCTGTATTAGTCAAACTAATCCCTCTATGGTTGTCACTGGATGATTTCGACCCTTTCTTATATATTGGGACGATAAGTGATTGTGACCAGCCAGATGGGATTACGTCAAACTCCCAGATTTTAGCTAAAATATCAGTCAACCTAATCGCTAAAATTGAACCACCATACTTAAAGATCTCTGGAGCCAATTCATCTGAGCTAGCTGCTACGAGTACTATGTCTGAGCGTTCAGAATTATAAAGAAGTTCAGAAAGCTTCCTGTAAAACTCATCTTTCACTTCATCCGGGCTGCAATCAGTGGGACCATAGGCAGAAACAACGAAAAGGCAACGATGTGTGTCCCTATCCTTCCGAGTTCTAACGGAGCTGTTGAGCCGAACAACATATAGACGACTGTTAACGGGGATCCACTCCAATAGTGCTTGTTCTGCCCTCGTACTTAATGCTATGTCTACACCCGCCAGTCCACGAAAACTAGCCACCGCGTCGCCAGATACACGGAAAGTGCATCCCATTGACTATCCTTTTTGACGTCAAGTGAATGACCACACGAGTATTCTGTATGTGTGTTTCGGAGACACAGCATACATCTATGGTACAGGATTCTAGGGCTTTAGCCCAGGATGCCTGCTGGCCGATTTGACACAGGGTGTGTACGTTGAAGGCTTCAATGTGTAGTTTAGAGCGCGGTTTCAGTAGACCTAGGACAATATTTTACGCACTAGGATCGTTGACTATGGTGACACTTGAGGAGGAAACCAAAAGAGGAGGTTTAGTCGATGTAGAAGAAATAATAGGAATTGAAGATGGAGATTGATCATGAATATAATGATCTTGAGTGTTGCTAGAGTTATGAGGGCAGTCATCACTTCCCGGTTGCTCACACCATGGAAGCGTTCTTCTGGAGGTACCTGAGAGCGTGACCGCAGTACCCAAGGGGCTACTGCTTGAGGCCGTTCACGCAAGACTTTCTTGTGAGTAATTTTCATGCTAGCGTCGTACTTTTTGGAACCGTACCGCCGGAGACGGAAATCCGTGTGATAAGAAGAGGTGTGCATTTTTAAGGTCGACCGATTCTAACCCCACCCCTCCTTGTGGAAAGGCAGCATCGCTGTTACGCTGGTTGTCTGAAGGAAACACCTTAATGCCGTCACATCTCTGTACAGTCAGAAGTACGACTTCGCCCTCAGAACTTGAGTTTGCTGCTTTCAGTCTTACCGGTCTTCAACTGACCTGTCTGACGTGGTAGGACCTTGAGGAACGGTTGTTCTTGCGAGTATAGCTCGATTGGTTTATCACAATAGACAAGCCCGACCACCGCGTCAAGGTATTTTTCAAGAAACATTGTATATCTATAATGTTTTGTCCTACCACTGACTCTATAACTACTTCTCTTTCTCCGGTTCGTCTTGATAATTCAGTTTTGTCGTACTGATATGGTTTGACAACTTGGACTGATGCTCATATGTGCTTATGATTGATTAAATGAAAATTCTCACTAATTAGAAACAGTTGATTCGTACTGGACAGATGCATTAAAGTATCGTCAGCTCTCTTTTCTTTTAAAAATAATTCCTAAAATATCAAACTGAAAATTTCTAGAATCTTAGCTATATTTTTGTTGGTCTATAATTATCTGTTAGTTATGTGACACTATCAAATTATGTAATTCAATCCACAATTACGTTAACTGTAGAACAAGAGAAAATACAGAACAATGCTCGTCTTCAGTTGTATATAAACCTAGATCATACCAGCCTGTAGTTATAAATCTCTTCAGAGTCGACAAAAAAACAAGGGATTCAAAACGATTGGTCCTAGCAAAACATACTGCGTCATAAAATACTAAGTTGCCGGAGAGTTGTAATCATGAATATAAGCATAAACATTACGATATATATACTATGGGATCGATTCTATCTATGAAATCCACATCTCCAACCACTAGATACGATAATCGCATTTATGCAAATCAAGTAATTTGTATTTACCTACATGACTCAGTCCAATGGTTTCATGAACTGACGTCACATTATGGTCTAGTCTTTCTAAACTTATTTCAAACTACTCCGACATCAATCAACATCGCATATCGAGGTAGAAAGCGGTTAAGAATACAAAATACATACCTCGACCGCCTTAAGTCGATGAAGAATTACTGCGTCGTCAAACGATTTGCCATCACTATCCAGTACTCTGCGTCTACACTCAACTTTTCACTCGGTGATCACATCGTACACGAGCAATGATTCTAAGACACTCATGGTCGAGTATTAATGTACTATGCTACTCATATCTTCTATTCTCAAAAGCCATATGTCACAGCAATAAAATAGAACAGAGTATTGTGCTGTGTGGTAAGCTCGCCCTTTGTTTGGAAGATGCATGAGGCTCAGTTCAGTGTCTGATAATTATTAGAGCTAATATTTTAGACAGTATACTAGTCAAACTGATTTCTCAAATATTGTCACATGAGGCATTTTATCCTTTCCTATAAAACGGTGATGATCAGTGATCGAAACTAGTCAAATGAGATTATGTCCAGGTCTTAGAATCTAGCTAATATATTAGCCAGTCCAATTACTTAAACTGAATCACTATCATTAAAGAACCTGCCGCTCTTCCTCGCTTTAGACTCCCTATAGTTTTATCAACCACAGCAAAACTTGGAGAAATCGTTTGAGTTTCCCATTCATTCGGACTTCTCTGATGGAAGATATTACGACATTTGAACTCATATTTATTCGAGTCTGACTGAACTATATTTATGTTTCATACGTTTATAGGAATTCAACTGAGATATCGTTATGTTGTCAGTCAATTTATCTTATTCTGAAACACTGCTGAACCATTTTATCAGTTAATTGGAAAATGTGTATATGCAATTAGCTCACCTCATAGGCACGAGTTAAAACGTTTTTGAATACTAAAAGTAAATGACGAGGAATACATTCCAAATCCTTATGAAGATTAAAATTGCTTGTATAATTAGTAGTAGTATTAGTAGAAGCAGTACGATTTATTGAAACAATTAATTGTTCAAGATAATAGCTAGTTGTCTTTTCTGGAGTAAGATCTTGTGCTCTTAGTTCATTGGAAAACGCTGAGAGAACAGCTGCAATATCAGGGGCCAATAAATCGTCAATAAAACCGTCGAGTAAAAGTTGTGTCAATAAAACTTCCTTGCTTGTTAATTCACATGCAAAGAAACCTAGGAAAAAAAGGATATAACAATTTGTTGTCTTGTTGACCGCTGACAAATATCACTTGGCAATCCACTAATCAGAATACTGATTTGATCTGTTTCGTGCTTACTATTTACTCTATAATCTAAAATCTCTGATTTGCCCAATTATAGGCCTCACCAGTACTACTAATTTTGAGCCGATATATAGTTTCCTACTGGTATGTGATTCGCAAGCATCTCTCACAATAGCTGCTCCGAGTTCAAAAGTCATCAACCAGCTTTAACTATAGTTATATTCCAAACAGACGTGGTTTATATAGACACACCCGGCCGCACCATACTATAAAATGAAAAATAACAATTATGGATAAAAAAATCCAAAAGTGGAAGTGGATAGCGGAAACCGTAAGTGATAGACTAAACACGAATAGAAAGTCGTACGACAGTTGTTTATGGGTATATAGACAAAGTAGTCTAGTTACTTAAAAATTACGTAATAACACTGTAATATAATATTTATCGACAAATTGGTCCTGATAGTTACTATTCCTTCAATCTTCGTTCTGGTATATCAGAGTTTATTTTTTTCAACAACTAATAATGATAGTGTATGGAAAAAAGCAATGAAAATAACGAAAATACCCGGGGAGTTAATGCTAATCTTTTAGAAATATCTCCTAAAAGTACATTTCTCATATGTTAGCTTTGTTAAATAAAATCGCATATTGTTTGGTAAAGTATCCAGAAATACAGGAATTAGTATGTCCGAACTTCCGTCCAATTCAAAGCTCTATTCGTATTTAAAATAACCAACCTATTGAATCTCCACAACCATGATAGAAAACAAAAATGTCGCAGTTGTTGGTCCTGTCTAGAGGCCGCAGAGAATCCGACTAAAGCCGAACCACAACCATGGCCAAAACCGGACGGGCCTTGGCAAAAAATACACGCTGATTTCGCCGGTCCAATACAAGGCAGAAATTACTTGGTTGTCGTCGATGCTTTCACAAAATGGCCAGAAGTATATGACATGCCGAAAACGAAATCAGAGAGTACAATAAGAATATTGTCAGGATTGTTTGCTTGTCTTGGGGTCCCAGAGATCTTAGTGACTGACAACGGTACTCAGTTTATGTCATCTGCTTTTAAACACTTTTGCGGCGAAAATGCAATATCGCATCCACAATCTC